CAGGTAATGATCCCAGAAACCAGTCAATGGTAGAAACAATAAACCAATAAAAATGCCAAACAGCTTTTGATCTTTTTTATCGAGGAACAAGAATCACGGCTAGATTAAAATAACAGATTAATCACATGGCTTAATGCATCTTCATGTTTGGCTTGTTTATGGTTTTCAGTGAGTCTGTCCAGGGAAGTACAGGTTTGACAACCTCATCCGTGAAAAAAACCTGATTTATCTCTGCTAACTCTGCGCGGATCCCCACCTTAGTGACTCTGACTGGCCCCATGAGGTTGGTGTCCATCGACATCTGGAACTCCTGCTCGCTGGTGTGTAGCAGGTCCCCACGTGGCAACACGCCTGCATTGTTCACCAGCACGTTCAGTCCACCTCCCTCCAGCTTGGCCCCCACCTTCATCGCTGCCTCTTTCATGCTTCTTGGGTCTGTGGTATCTGCTCAGGTTTGGGGAGGGAGAAGTGGAACTGAGTACAATTAGATCTGAGTGCTGCGGTATTTGAATAGAATCAGTTCTGAGTTTAGTTGGATTTGAATACAACTGATTCTGAGTACAATTGGATCTGAATAAAATCAGATCTTTTAAATCAAATCTGGACGTGACAGATCTTTTAAATCACAATTAGATGTGAATACAATGAGATGTCAATACAATTGGATCTGAGTACAACTGGATGTCAGTAGACTTGAATCTAAATACATTTGCTAGAATATGACATAAATACAACTGGAAATGAATACAATTGGGTTTGATTACACTTGGATCTGAATAGAATTGGATCTGTTTTCATTTGGATCTGAGTACAACTGGATCTGAATCCAGGTTCGTTCTGAATACTGATATCATATGATGTTACTTAGAAGGAGAGAGGATGAGAGGAATGAGAGAGGGACAGGAAGTGAGCAGAGGAATGAGAGAGGGACAGGAAGTGAGCAGAGGAATGAGAGAGGGACAGGAAGTGAGCAGAGGAATGAGAGAGGGACAGGAAGTGAGCAGATGAATGAGAGGGGGACAGGATGTGAGCAGATGAATGAGAGAGTTAGATGCATGTTACCAAGCTGGATCACAGTGATGACTTTGGGGTACTTCTTAGCCAGATCCTGTAGGGCCTGAGAGAGAAGAAAATAGAGCAAGATGGCAACCTTCATCATCATCATCATCATCAATCATCATCATCATCATCATTTTATATTTAAGGTGGCATTTCGCTATTTTGACGGCATAAAAACCAGACTGTGCAACAGCAAAGTTTGTCCTAATTGTCCTAAATCTCTTAATTATTCAGAGGTATGACTGGGCGCAACGTGCAAGAAAGCAGTTGGAATGACACACCAGCTTTAAATGCCAGTGGCATATGATCTACTTTGGATTGCTGTTACAACGGCGCGTTTGCCTGACAAGCCAGATTGCTTTGCGGCCGAGGAAGTGGATGTTCTCGAAAAGGTGTGAACACCTCGTCTACAGGAGCAGCACTGTTCCGTCGTAGCCTTTCGGGGTGACGCAGACGTGGGATGAGGGAGCAGCCAGTGTGTCCTTGTTTTCTGGCATCATTACATCAGCAGCGTAGCGACAGAAGCAGTATGATGAAGTTAGATGATGGAGAGAACGGAAGCTCGATGCTGAATGAGTGCAGCAGTTGGGAATGGGGACTTAATTATGCTTGTATATTTTATTTAAATTTTGGGTCTGCAGTTTGTAAAATATAAATGAAAGTGCAATCTCTGTTCAAACAAAACAACCTACAGTTTTTGTGGTGTTTTAAAATGTTCTAATGAAAGGCAATAAGGCTGTTATTTTTCTACTCTCACAATTTAGATTCTTTACCAGGCTACAGACGTTTCAGCTCTTCTGCCGGCTGATCCCTCCTTGCCGGCACATTCAGTTTAGCAACATGCCTTCCAAAGTCCTCTGCCGTGTCCTCATTTATGTCCAACAGACGCCCATCACGCATGGCAGTACTGCAACATCCACCTGCCTCATCTTAATAACCCATCACTGACTTTAGACGTGGTTTTTGTCGGTCGAAAGTGCAATAACATTGCTCTGCCTTAAAATAGCATCGTGCCACAACTTATTTAATTGACACCATTCCTACAAGCAGATAGCAGGCACAAAATCATTTACTATTTTGACGACGTGCATGGCATGAAAATAAGCATTGCACTGGTAGGAAACTAGCAAAACCACTTTGTATTGCGCTTTGCACAGGTGAAAAATAGAGCTGATAGTCTTTTCCTCCATAAATGGGTGAATGGATTTGGAGTCCCTCTCCAGCCAGCTGCCTCCCTCGTACCTGCGACTTTGGGGCATCGGGGTCGCGGCAGGCGGCAAACAGCCGGCAGGTGGAAGCTCGGGACTCCACCAGCTGTTTGACCATCTCCAGGCCGAGGCCCCGGTTGGCTCCGGTGATCAGGAAACTCTGCGCTTTGCTGGCGGCCATGGCGTTCTGTATGGAGATCTCCGTCTGTCCTCCTCACCTCTGCAGTGCAATTTTGCTGATTCACGATTGTTTATAAACCAGATCTCCATCTGTCATGGTTAAGACTCCGCCTCGTCCAACCCGGGGAGGTCTGGGAGCCGTGCCATGTTTGAGCTCCGCCCCATGGGGAGGAGGGGTTACCGGTGGGCGGTGAGATGAGGACTACCTGGTCATACTCTATTCACAGCGAAATGGAACCAGAAGTCAGGTCTCTGTAATCTTTAAGCTTTGTGGAGCGGGGAATTTGGAATGCAGAACATGTCATGGTGAGGTCTTTGTACAATCCGAGAAGATCAAAATGGTATTGTTGGTAAAGGGCAAACACGAAAGGAGAAAAAACTATGTTGGTTTTTCCAAGTAGGCTACTGGAGCTTCTGTAGTCAGATCTTGGATACGCCCAAGCCTGACCTCCCCCGCTTCCAGGGCGGGGGCTCTCGAGATGAGGAACCTCGTCATCCTGGAGTTTACACGCCTTATGTTCAACCACGATAAAATACTCATCTGTTGTGACAAACCCACAGCTTTTTGCTGGTTCATAGTGAGTGGAAACGTTCCAAAATGGGACAGACCTTCACTATTGTTCACATTGGCTCCGTCCTGACTGCACGGGCCTGAGCTATATTTTGGATAGTTTGGTAGCCCTGATTTAAGGGGCAACAAAAGCTAAGAGATCGAAAAGCATTATCTACAATGTGCACGCTGACCGTCACCATTTTGTGGGCCTTTGCTTCATCATCATGATTAAGCAAGTATGGTCAAGGAAGTGTCACCAACTTTGGTCACCTGGCTAGCGTGAGACTGTCAATTCGAGACAAGCCCTGCACACTCATTTACATGTATGGAATAATTTTATTAACTAGTAAATAGTCTGTATGGTTTGCAAACTGCCCCAGCGTTCTTGATCGCAGTCTTATAATGGAATAATATAAATTTCTTGTATGAGTGTGTGAGTCAGAAAGTGTGTGTGTCATGCAGGATGCCTGCGAGTTGGCACCCCTGCCAAGGGGGAGAAAAGGTGTGTGTGTGTGTGTGTGTGGGGGGGGGGGGGGGTGTTTGGTTTCCTCCTATCACGATGAGGGAGTATTTTTCTATGCTTTTTGATAACTAATGGACATTAAGGAAGCTAATTTGATGCAATTTGAATTTGATACTAATTTGAATCCTAAACATGACTTAGAATTTGTTTTTCCTTCAGATTATAATGCAGGACAATAAAGTTAAACCTCCTATAGATATGAGGCGTGTGTATAATGCAGTATGAGGCATTTCAGGGAGGAGACGAAGTCCGACGTAGAGCAACGAGTTTCCTGCAGCTGCAGCTTCCAGGATCTTAGTGTTGCTGCAGGATTCCTGAGGTCGCAGTTAGACCCCAATGCAGGAGAAATGCGGCCTTGCTGAAGCAGGTAAACATGCTAATGACTGACTTAATCTGTCTGAGAAACGTGGCTCCAGCAGAGCGTTTGCTCCTCCTGGGGAAATAGCATATCCCATAATTCCGTTCACCTGTTCCCCACAGACCATTTAGTCATTTAAAAGTAATTAACTACTATTGGATGTTAGAAGCCTAGCTGGCTCTGAGACTTCAGCCGTTTGAAATTTTGACGTTGTTTAATTAATGGTGCGTGTTCAATGGGCAATTTGCTGCCTTATGTTATAAAACAAGACAGGGGACTGTCTCAGACTGGGTTGTCAGCCTGGGGGAAACAAGGAACAGTCATTGGGGGGGCTAACAGTGATCGGAAGTTTCACATGCAAGGCCACAAGGAGCGTATTAAACTGTGTGTAAGATTTTAGTGATGCCACTGGACAGATAAAATGGACACTGTAGCAGTCAACAAACCAAACAACACTGTGTTGAGGGTTCAGTAAAGTGGACAGGTAATGGACTCCTGTGCAATACAGGTGATGTAGGCTCTCAGTAAGTAAACACAGACCAAGTGACTCTAGGTCCGAGACCATATTTTGAATGCTAAAAAGTGAGGTCTATGACGAGAGATGATTGCAGAATTTTTTTTTTGAAGGTGGGTGGCATAAGACGAGGCATACTTTATACAGAGGAGCCAAGCTTATCATTAACCAATGATATGTTTGGAATTGGTGAGTGACAGGGGAGCTGGCCAATCAGCTTTTACCTGAGGCCAGTGTCCCTGTGGCCCCACCCATGTATATGCTCCATCCAGGACGTCCTTTAATATGCCAATTAACAGGCATAACAACACAGTGGTGAATTGGCCCACTTCTTTGAGGGGGTGTCAGATGGAACACACCCACCACCTGGTCCTATACAGGTGTACCTGGCTGTTGGTAAAGCAAGCAAACCAGATTAAAATGGAAAAGAGAGAGTCTGTCAAATAACTACCTGGAAGAGACCATTTCAGTTAGGAAATGGGTGTTTAAACACCTGGCGCTCAACATGGCACTGAATCATAACCTGTAAAGCAAGAAACACAGAACAGCGTCCCATCTTGATATTGATATCGCTGCTACCCCCCCGATGACCGTTCCTTCTTCTCCTCTGCCGGCCCCTGGAGGATGGACTCCCCCTTTCAGTCTGGTTCCTCTTACTTCTAGGGAGTTTTCCCTTGTGACGGTTGCTGCTGGCTCGCTCATTGTGGGCTTTGGGCGGAGATGATGTAAAGTGCTTTGAGGCAATGTAATGTTGTGAGAACAAATTAAAAAATAAATAAAAATAAAACTGAAAAAAAATTTGAATTGATTTCCTTTTATTAGCTGAAGTTGGTCGCACTGTTACGATCGAGTACAACAGAGCAGCCAAGCGAACTCAGGTAACCCACCTGCCCCCCCCCCAACCCACAGCCTCACATCCCCTCACCCATCTCTCTTAGTCCACGAGGGCCACCCTCTCTCTGAATAGAGGTCAGAGGAGTGGGGGTGGGGGGGGGACTGAGTGGATGTAGCGGAAAAGGGAGGGGGGGCACAGACGGGGGTAAATGAGCATGGTCTTAGGTGTAGCAGCATGGGCAGGGAGGGGTGACAGAGTCAGCTGATTTTCGTGGGGTGTATCTTCCTCTTAAGGTCCATTGGGGTAAATGGAACTCCCACCTCGAGTGTCCATGGGGGGGGGGGGGGGGGGGTTGGTGGTATAGACGTGTATGCTGGTTGGCGCCCAGCATACATGTAGGTGTTTAGCGACTTGGCTGAAACTCAGCGAGTCTCTCAGTGCGGAGAGAAAATAAAAGCAGGCTGGAGTTTAAGTGCCCGGCGTTCAACCTGCGATCTAAAAGCAATCTGTTGTGATTTGAGGTCCCTGCCAAGACAAACATGCCTGGGGACATTTGCTGTTTCATGGTGAGTGGAAACATTGAAACGGGACACACCTTCACTTGTGAACGGATCTTAAGCCTTCCATAGTGCCCTGTCCTGGGAAAAATGTGATAGAAACCCAGGTTACTAGCAATTCTATTGAGAATTATCACAAAAGAAACACTTCTCATTCAGTACATTCACTGCGATGTCTTTCTTCTCATAGATCTCACATTTTATTACCTCGATGATGCTTTTTAAAAAGAATTAGCCGTATGAGTCCCTTACTACATTTACTATCAGACAGACACTAAAAGGTAGCCTATAAAAATAACAGGCAAATAGTAATAGTTTTGTTGTGCAAATCTACAGTTTAAAATGATAAAGTCCATGTTTTGGGTCTAAGATATGAGGGGACTTTGGCAGTCTGAGGCAGTTACATTTTATTTATTTGGCAAACGATTTTATCCAGAGCGATGTACAGACTGTGCCTGCAGTGATTTGTGATTAGTCATTAGTCATTTAAAAGTAATTAACTACTATCGGATGTGAGAAGCCTAGCCCGCTCTGAGATGAGTCTTTGGCTATTTGAAACTGTATATAATTAATGGTGCGTGATCAATGGGCGATTTGCCGTCTAATGTTGTAATGAAAGACAAGGGACTGTGTCAAACAGCATGTCAGCCTGGGGAGGAAGAAAAGGGAACCATCGTGGGGGTTAACAGCCATTCGAAGTGTGTGCATGCAAGGCCACGAGGGGCAGATAAAACGGGGTATACGATTTCAGCGATGCCATTGGGCAGATAAAACGGGGTATACGATTTCAGCGATGCCATTGGGCAGATAAAACGGGGTATACGATTTCAGCGATGCCATTGGGCAGATAAAACGGGGTATACGATTTCAGCGATGCCATTGGGCAGATAAAACGGGGTATACGATTTCAGC